AGCATTATTTTTTGCTTTTTAGAAAATTAAGTTTTTTTTTTGGTAAATTTTCTTTATCGTTTTACTATTATCTTTTTTTATAAAACGTTTTCCTTTGTTGTTGTTGTTTTAGGTAACAGTGGAAAAAGAACCTGTAGTTGTCGACGAAGTTCATGAAGGCTACAGAAGCGTTTATGGAAATGTTGAATTTGTTTTATTGAAGGTTACCTGTTAATTGCAAAATGCTCAAATTTGGTCTTTATGTTTTTCTTTCTAGTTCTAACAAAACTCAATAACGGTTAAAAATCAAAAAAAAAGAAAATTAGTTGGCCGGTTGTAAATTTTAGGGTTGTGGTCATATGGTTCCGGCGGAAAAACCTCGCGTTGCTCTTGAAATTGTCAGAAATTTTATTCAAAAATACAACTATTCTAAATGTTCGATCAGTAGAGACGTTCATTCGTCAGCAACTAATATTAAGTCAAGACCTATGTTTCTTGTTATTTTTTTATCTAGGCTTATTGTTTCATTTCTAATTACGACAATGGTACTCTCAAGTAGGCTATAAGTTCCTATTATATCTAGTTTCAATTTTAGTAACTTTATTTAATTTGGTTCTAAATTTTTTGAGTAATCTACTATGAGCTTTACGAATGGGTTGGTTTAATTACAGCAACTGCATCTCTGCTAGTTCAGTTTATCAAAGAATCGATTTTTGGTTAAAACGATCATAGATTATGCATGAGATTAGATTTTCTTTACAGATTTTTGCATTCTAAGAGCAGACATTTTTTCTATGCGTCAAAAGTTGCCTGATATAAAAAAATTGTTGAACTTTTAAAAACCGTTTTTTTTTTCTTCTTTTATAGATAGGTTACTGAAATTGAACAGTTTCTATGCGCCTACCTAAGTTTTATCCAATTTTTTTTTCCAGTTTTATTTTTCTTCAACTTATTTATTTAGTTTTTGTTGAGTGTTCAAAAATTAAAGATTTTTTGTATTGTTATAACAACTACCTTTTTGGGCAGTGTTATAGCAGTTAAGAAGGCATATATCTTTATAAAACTTTTTTTTTTTGTATCTATCAGTTATGTTAAAAAACGACAACTACTCTTAAAGAGCATCAGTTTGTGCGTCAGTTTATATATGTATCTGTGTGTATCTGTGTCTGTGGGTGTCTGCGTGTGCTTCAATAATTAGGCAGCATTTCACAAATAGATAGTTTACTTTATCAATTTTATGCACTGTTCAATCTTATGGTTAAAACTTTTTTTCTTACCATTATATTTTTGTATTTTTATTCAGATTTCACTTTATCAACTTTCGCATAATTGTCTTTTGTTATGCGCAGACATATTTGTTATTTTGTTCTGTTTTTTATAATCATAAATTAAAAAGAAAAAAAAGAAAATAAAATAAAAAATAAAAAATTTTGAAGCTCTGTTTACCTTATTAAAACTGTGACTGTTTAACTGCAGTAAAGAGTTTGCGTCAGTGGCAATTCTGATCTAAGTTTTGTTTCAACGCCTAAAATGATTGCCTTTTTTTGTCTCTTTTTTTTTTCTTTTTTTCTGAATGCCCATCAATTGCTAAAACATTCTGTTCAATTCCAATACAATACTGTGCTTTCTCTGCTGTAGAATTATTCTAAAAAATATTTAAGCCAACTACAATTTTTTATCAATATTCCTTGTCAATATGCAGTAAATTTTAAGCAATTTCTTAATGCATGCAACCACAAATGCAAATGATCAAAAAGAGAACTAAAAACCTGCAAATTTTAGAAGCTTATTAATTTATATTTTGGTTATTAGGTACTTAAATTTCAACTTGTTTATAAAACCGGAACATTCAAAAGTGCTTTGCAAGGGACTAGACACAGTGAAAGAACTAATCCGTAAGAGACAACAAAAAATTATCTTTTCTTGTCACCTTGAAAATGCTCTGCTAAATGCTAATAAAGTTCCACGTTCATATTGTCGAACTGCTTTGGAGCTTAAGTGTAATTTTTTTCCCCCGTTATAGTTTAAATCAGTTTGAATTTAAGAATTCTTCAAATCTGTACACAGTATCAGAATT